CAAGTGAGCTTTTTGTCGTATACGCATCAAAACGAATGGTTCATGTACTGGAGTACTTTTTCGAAGTGGTATTCTTGACGACCATTCGCTTTGCAAAACGTATACGCTTGAAAACGTGCGATAGTGATGCGATCAGAGCATCCGGCATCACTGTAATATTTCACGAAAGTTATGAAATGATCCGTTGATTCACGTTCTGTGAATATGTGAAAAATTCCGCGCGAAGAATCTAATTTTTTAGATATTTTTTATAATGCATATGCTGTGTTGAATGAATCAAATCAATCTAAAAATTATTCACAGATGAAGTGGAAATGAATAATTTGATCAAAAATAATAATAACATAATATACTATTCTTCATTCACATCAGTTATTATTTACACATAATAATCCAGTAAATAAAGATTCATTAGATTAGAAAAACATAAATATACAGCAATAAATAATAATAAATGATAATGTATAATAATCAATAATACAGCATCATGTAATCTCCTCAGCATTGTTTGGACATTTGAACTATTCCATATAAAAGCATCATTTGTTTTACCAGGAAACCGAATTCACATTAACAATTTTCAAACTGTAGTCACAAATTAATTGTACATTTATTAAATGACAGTTTTTCCCTATTTACATAGATATTTTCAAGATGTTCATAACCATGCACTTTTGGAGGAAGAATAGGTATATGTGAGTGCAGTCAAACAGCTTATTACCCCTGGAAAATCATATTTTCTGTAGAAATCTGTATAGAAAAATTTTTGAACAATCACTTTAATAGAAGCCAGTTACTTTGAATATAGTCTGTTCTTTAGCAGATTCAACTAACTTGTAAATATTGGCAGGACATCTAAGGAATCTTCAGAAAATTTCAACTTTGTTCCAGAACCTCAACGATTTTGTTCACACGTCTAGAAACATAAGACTGAGACACATTGCAGCTCATGTATATTTGGTAACATTCTCATGCAAAAAACCGTGAGGAAACTAACACAGTAAACAGTATAATGTGTATATCACCTCTGTGCTAGTTGGGTACCAACTCTTGTGGAGATATCCAAATCTTGAGCACGATGTGCAGGTCATGTAATAAAATCAGAGGTAGGTAATATTCATTAGGTATTGAACCTATTCTTTGGAGGCGAAACATTTTGATAAATTGGTTGTAACCCAAATCATCAGAGTGATTTCCACGCTACTGTATCTTCGCCAATCTATTTGTTCCGCATCTTCCATCACATCAACATCAACTGTACAAATTTCCCTTCCATTATGTTTTGATGTTATTTACTATTTATTCAGATGATATGAAACTAAAAAAAGATTCATTAGAGTCCATAATGGTTCTCCAATAAACAATAAAAATATTCAATGGCACACGTTACAAGTCAACAAAACGAACGAAAAGATACAAAACGAGTGAAATAAAGCGCTCGCTGTAAATGCTCGCTTTGAAAACGTACACGCCTCCTATTTCACTGGTCAAGAATACCAAAACGTACGAAACTCTCGAAGTGCGCATACGCATCAAAAGTTCACTCGTCGAGAATACGGCCCCAGGGGCCGTATTCTCGACAAGTGAGCTTTTTGTCGTATACGCATCGAAACGAATGGTTCATGTGCGAGTACTTTTTCGAAGTGGTATTCTTGACGACCATTCGCTTCGCAAAACGTATACGCTTGAAAACGTGCGATCGTGATGCGATCAGAGCATCCGGCACCACTGTAATATTTCACGAAAGTCATGAAATGGTCCGTTGATTCACGTTCTGTGAATATGTTAAAAATTCCGCGCGAAGAATAAAATTTTCTAGATATTTTTTATAATGCATATGCTGTGTTGAATGAATCAAATCAATCTAAAAATTATTCACAGATGAAGTGGAAATGAATATTTTGATCAAAAATATTATAATATATAAACATAATATACTATTCTTCATTCACATCAGTTATTATTCACACATGATAATCCAGTAAATAGAGATTCATTAGATTGGAAAAACATAAATATACAGCAATACATAATAATGAATGATTATGTATAATAATCAATTATCCAGCATCATGTAATCTCCTCAGCATTGTTTGGATATTTGAACTATTCCATATAAAAGCATCATTTGTATTACCAGGAAACCGAATTCACATTAACAATTTTCAAATTGTAGTCACAAACTAATTGTACATTTATCAAATGATAGTTTTTCTATATTTACATAGATATTTTCAAGATGTTCATAACCATGCACTTTTGGAGAAAGAATAGGTATATGTGAGTGCAGTCAAATAGGGTAATAACCCTGGAAAATTATATTTTCTGTTGAATCTGTATAGAAAAAAAGTTGAAAAATCACTTGAATAAAAGCCAATTACTTTGAATATACTCTGTTCTTCAGCAGATTTAACTGGTAAATATTGGCAGGAAATTTAAGGAATCTTCAGAAAATTTCCAGAACCTCAACGATTTCGTTCACACGTCTAGAAACATAAGACTGGGACACATTGAAATTGCAGCTCATGTGTATTTGGTAACATTCTCATGCAAAAAACCGTAAGGAAACTAAGACAGTAAACAGTATAATGTGTATCACCTCTGTGATAGTTGGGTACCAACTCTTGTGGAGATATCCAAATCTTGAGCACGATGTGCAGGTCATGTAATAAAATCAGAGGTGAAATATTCATTAGGCATTGAACCTATTCTTTGGAGGCGAAATATTTTGATAAATTGGTTGTAACCCAACCAAATCATTAAGAGTGATTTCCACGCTACTGTATCTTCGTCAATCTATTTGTTCCGCATCTTCCATCACGTCAATCAACATCAACTGTACAAATTTCCCTTCCATTATGTTTTGATGTTATTTACTATTTATTCAGATGATATGAAACTCAAAAAAGATTCATTAGAGTCCATAATGGTTCTGCAATATAAATAAACAATAAAAATATTCAATGACACACGTCACAAGTCAACAAAACGAACGAAAAGATACAAAACGAGTGAAATAAAGCGCTCGCTGTAAACACCATAAACGCTCGCTTTGAAAACGTACACGCATCATATTTCACTGGTCAAGAATACCAAAACGTACGAAACTCTCGAAGTGCGCATACGCATCAAAAGTTCACTCGTCGAGAATACGGCCCCTGGTATATTGTCGAGAAAACATCTAATTAAAGTTACCTACTTTACTTTGATCATGAAGTCTTGCTTTGTTTGTTGAACTTGGTATCATCTAGGTATAATTGTGAAATTATGTGAAATTTCTCATTTATTTTATAGTGTAATGAAGAAAGTGTCCTGGAAGATGAAGACATAGAAGAGGCGAGTGGACTAATTTCTTTTTATTTCTTGAATAGAATAATCACTCAAATACAATTTCATATTTTTTCAGAATTTTTCGGTCGATTTTAAGGTGCCAACATCATCAATAATGCCACGGTAATTTTCAAACGGCTAGAAATTTCCCGCGAGTAAAAACTGACGTCACGAATCAATGAGTAGGGGCAGACCATAGCACAGTTGCCATATGTTGGAATACGATTGGGAACTTCAGAAATAATAGTTTTCCAATAGCCCATAATTCTTCAATTATTATGTATGTAATTAGCAATAAGAAATCAATTGTCTCAAAATGTTCCTTCATGTGTTGTGGCTTATTGGTTATAATACATTTGTGTAAATAATAATCATATTAATTCACACTAGAGGACATTTGAACCGGTAATCGCTCGGGTAAACGTGACAACAACGGCGCACGAAATGTGGGCGTGGTCTTGTCAGTTGTCAGCATTCAGCACAATGTTGCCAAGTATCCAACATTTACATGATATTTTGTTATGGTGTATAAGAAATATTTGGACATGCTGGTTGCTCGAAAAAGTCAAGAATCAACTGTAATATCATGGGTTCCTCCTATTATGTTTCATTCAACGGCAAGATTAATATCTTTTTGATAACTTGATTATGATTGTTGACTTGGCAACCTTGCTTCATGAGTGGAAATGAAAAATTATCTGACCAATAATGAAACAGCACAAAACCTGACGTCATTATGAGGGTACGTTTGAAATGAGCTCTGAAATTCAACAATTTTGAACAACACATAGACTAATTATTCACATGAAAAAAGCGTGAGAAGTGTTCCAAAAATTAATTTAGGTTCCTAACGACACAGTGGAGTAATTGAATGCCAAAAATTCATTAGTCCACTCGCCCATTGGTGAAAATCTAAAAACTTGTTATTGTAAATCTACATTTACAAAAAAAGCGATTCAGGCTATATTTCGATGAGATTTTTTCGGGTTGCTGAGATGACATATAGCGGTCGAGATTACTTATGCCAATGGACATTTCTGATATTCATCAAAGCAGGGTTGATGCAAAATTATTGAACACACCATACTTGGATGCAGGTATCAGTAAAACGCTAATTAGTTAAAATAATATATTTCTGGGAGAGTTTAATATCTATTCCTCAAGTTTAACTTTTCATGTTGTAGTTAACAGTCTTTTCTTATATTCTTCAGAAATCTCGCCTATCATTCCATCACTGTCACTGGTAATACCAGTCAGACGAACCACTAGAAGATATGTTGAACAATTCTCTGTCAAAACTCTTTTGGCTATAGAACCTACAAACATAATAAGGATTCCCTTTCATGGGCCCCGAAGATGAAAAGAGTATAAAATCGAATAATATCCAATTCACATTCAAATCTGTTTCATTTTGTTTTAAACATATCGACTCAAAATAGGAAATTATTCTTTATGTTTGTTTTTAATCTCCCTATCCGAGGGTCTAATAGGTAGTCTGTGAGAAATACATATGTAATTTGATTTATATTCATCCGTTTTTCGGAATCACAAAAGTATCATATTGTAATCTGGAATATTTTTTAAATATCAAATTTTTCAAATTGTAATAAAAATGTAAAACAAATCGATTCAAGTTTCACGTTCACGCAGTAATACACCAAAATTCTTAACTAGTCATGCTCTTGTGAGTTCTTATATACTATTTCTAGAGCTGTTGTGATAGTGCGAACATCTCCTTCAATAGTTTTTGCCCAATTTTCAACATCACCTATTTCTTTCAAAGCCCCACTAAATGATTCCACCAAATTCAGCCACTGTTGTGTTTGTTTGGAAAAATTCGTAGCACTTGCATGTAACTGTTTGGCTTCAGCATCCAACTTTTTTTGGTTGAGGTAAGCCTGTGCAACTCCTACGTTAAGGTGATCCACTAAAGCTTGTGTTAGATCATTGGCAGCAGCACAAGATTCCTTCCTTCTGATCTCCTGTATCTCTTTCTTTACCATCTGCTTGGCCTGATGTTCTTTCACCATCGATGACAACATAGTTCCAAAATCTAAATATACCAAGATATCAGAAAATGTAATGGTTGAAGGCGGCCATGGACCCCAAAATGAATGTGAAAACTAATATCCCGCTTGTGAAATGCTTATAACCTCAAGAGTAACTTCAAACATACTTATTTTGCTTATTCTCTCTGTTGAAAGACCTCACACGCCAAAGGACCTCTGTGGAAGCACTGTCAAATCGACAATTTAAGAGGATTTTTTCTTTTTGGATGAAACATTCAATTCGGTATGAATAGGTTATGCCAAAAATGGAACAACATAACACATGACGACATAAGTGTCAAAAACTCACGACTTATGATTATAAAGTTATTTATTATACAAGGGAAAAAAGTAGTAGATTTTAGCTCCAGGTTGTGTTGTCTCCCGACGCGTAGCGGAAGGAGACAAAAAACCGTGAGCTAAAATCTTATATTTTTCCCGTGTATAATACACTATTTTTTTCTGTGACAGAAGGAAGGACGAATCAATATTGAGAAGATATTACATTATTTCGAAATCTGAAAATTATCGACGTGAAATTTCAAGTTTTTAACAGTAGGGACACCTGCGTTTTATAGACATCTTCATCATTCTTTTGAAGTAATCAAATATCTGATGTCACTTCTGTCAGTTCAATTCTGTGATTTGATTTTAAAAAATTGTGAATTCAGTTGTTGTTTAGTAATATACGAAACCGCGAAGTCTAATGGAAGATAAAAGGACTTGCAGTTCTTTCTCGGAGACGGTACTATTGACTCATTTTTCGGAACTATAGCACAACAAAAGCCATTAACAGAGTATATATATGTGATATATATCCGGGAAAAAAGTACTCACTTTTTTCCCACGGGAAAAAAGTAATTTATGAAAAGTGACATTTTATAACCTGCCAACAGAGATGAAATGACAAACTTTTTTCCCGTCACAGAAAAAAATATATTAGTTATTGTGAAGTGAGTATACAGGGTGGGGTATTAGTGCGTCGGAGCTCATTATTGATTTTTTCAATGTCCCTTGGTTGTACATGTGTGAATTTAAAAATTTGCTCCACATGTTTCACTTGTCATAATGATGCTGTGATCTGGAACTGATGCTAGGTTAACACCCACCTCAGTGAAAACATTGTTGAAGATCTGGCACATTTCTTGTGGATCAGAAATGGTTGCTCCTGCAGAAGTTTTCAGAGATGGTATGGACCATTAAATTATTTAGTTTTTCCACAATATACTTCAACCGCGAAACAAACAACTAATAGAGGAAAATGGGAGTAAAAATAATGAAATCCACTTATAGTATTGCCTCTTTTTGTTCATACATTATAACAATAACGTGAAAACGATTTTATATTAACGGTCAGAAGAGATTTGCTCGTGTCATAACACTTTCTTCCACAAAAGTTTCTGAATTATATTTATGATCGATTTTGAATTTAGGCAAAATTTGGTCTTTCAAAATGACTGAGTTCGAAAATTATAATATCTATATATAACTTGAAATCTTATTATTATCCACATGCAACTTTTATTTATATGTGGTTCTGGAAATTCGCAAAATGTAAGTTTGCACTGAAATGAGGAAAGTTTCCGGTTTTTGACTCTTGATTTCGGCTGTACTACTGAACCGAATTTGGAGTTTTATGTACTCATTTTACTCAGAACTTAACCCGCTTCATTATTGAATTTGGTGTCATTTTTTATCCGACGCATTGTTTTCGAGCTACAAGCAGAAAAGTGAAAAAAAGTGCAAAAATGTACCTTCTTTGGGCTCCCAAAAGTTAAGCGCACCTCCTGGAATGAAGCAATCTGACATTACAATTATTTATGACCAAATGAAGGGATTTAAATAATTTTCAGATTGGTGGCAATTAATTCCTCAAAAAATCCTTGTTTGCTTAGCTTTTTAAAGCTGTCTGGCGGTATGATTGTAACACTCAATATGTCTGCCATAATTTTTATTGAAAAGCAAACATAATCGGCTACCAACCCACAAAAATTCAGTGCTCTATCAATAATACGTTGCATTGACTTTTTTTCAACCCTTTACGGCTATACCACGGCCGCCTCCACCACTGAAAACCTGCCAGACATCCCGATTAGTGTTTTGATATTACGGCAGTAATGAGGTAGGAGATATCGATCTATTAATCGGACAATGAAATTTGTTGTCAGCTCTCCGTCTATTAGAGGAATTGACTTTTCAATAAGTCACAATACATTCTATAAAGTATAAAGGATACTAAAAGTACTAGAACACTAGATCACACGCAAGTTGTGATTTTTTTTGTTGAAATAATGTCATCTGCAATTGCGTAGGTACCGAAAAAATCAATATCGTCGTGATCATAAAATTCAAAAGGACTTGCTATATATCTGTCCTAAAATTATACAGAGTGGCTGAAAATGATTTTTGAATTCGGAACTTTAATCCTAACCGATTCATCAAATAGTTAGTTTTTTGACTTCTTTTTGTGTTCTTAGGTCTCATTCTTGAAAAATTTGTGAATATGTGTTAATATAATAGAACTTCAAAACTCATTTCCAAGGCGAATACAATGGGCGATATATGGAGCATATATTTGAGTTTGTTAATTTTTTGTGTAGGTACCTACTCAATACTCATGTTTTTGTATCTGGGTTATTCATTTTTCTGTGAATATTTCGCATTGAGCTTTTTCTGTTTGTCTTCAATTTTGTTTTGAACAATTGTGCATGAAAAAAGTTTGGATTTGCATTGATAATGTTGATTTTATGTCGCATCGGAATTTGTATCAGTGAAAATTAGCAAATTACAATTTTCTAAAGTTCAATTATTCAAAAATGGTTATGCATAGCTGGGACAAAGATACAGATGTTTTTATTCTGATTCTACATCACCTAGCCAATAAATGTAGGTATGGGGCATTTGAATAAACAAACAAGGAAATTCAATCCCAAAAGTTCAGAATTGAAAGATATTTGCTGGCCCTACAATTCCGAGGCATGAGAATGGATCAGGAAGATTGAACATCCATCTATCAAATGGCTCTGGTAATATCCCCTCTTAATATTGATGATTATAGGTAGGTATATGGCTAACAAAATAAATTACTTCTGAGTGATTGAAACATTATCGGTTATTGCACAAGCGCATAAAAACTACCGATAATTTTGCAAGAAAGCGTATTATATAAAAATTGCAGAAGTTTACTTCCATATTTTGTAGAGCTCCAGTCCAAAGGAGGGCTCTTTTACAAAATATGAAATTAACCAAATACAATTTGTATAAGATAACAGGCTTGAAAGCAAAATTATCTATTTTTATGCACAAATGTAATTCATTGACATATTTCACCTTGTATTTCAGGAATAAAGAAGAAGAAATGTTGTTTTTTTTTTTTTGAGAAATATGATACTGACAAAGATTATAAATGAAATGTGCTAAAAGACATTCAGATATTTCATATTCAGTTCCTGAAGTTTATCTGACATTTATTTATAATGTTTACTGGTGTCTAGCAACATGATTTCAAATGTGTTGTTATGGTGAAAGGATGTTTTTGCAGTGCAATCTTTGCTCTGCAGTGCAATTACCTCTGTAATTTTTAGATAATTGCATTGCTCTTATGAGACATTTTATATATGAGGGAAATATACAAGAACATTGGAGAAATGGATGGATGTCACTGAAATACTTAAAAAATGTGCTAATAGGTGTTGGTAAAAGAGCTTCTTGGTAAACCTTTGATATATAGGAGATATCTCAGGTGATATAGTTTATATCTCGAATTCGGAAGCTTATAATTACCCACCCACAATCCCATGGTAATCATGGTATACCCCAATCTGAACCCCAACTCCCTTGAGGAAAAATTGATCTAAATACCAAAATACCTATACATATCAAAGAAAGGAAGGAAAGCTCAAAGTCATCTCCACACTTTCAAATAATATGCCAAAGAAATGTTTGGGTAGGCTACCTAAGCTGACCAAGCTGAAGAGAATCAAAGAATATTATCAGCAAAAGTTTTCCCTCGACCCCCTTGGGGTGAAAAATGGAACTGATTATAGAAAATAAGAATTTGTCATTCCTTCTAATTTATACTCGGATTGGAACTTCATGGAATTCCGATTCCAAAGAAGGTACCTATATTTATAATATATAAATTTATGATCATTTATTTACCTCAAAATAAATGACTTCAAACTTGAATTTACACCATATCAGTCGTAATCACAACAAAACAACATAACCTCAACTTCTTCTTCTTTTTCTTCTTCTTTTTATTATTTTTTTTAATTCGTGTTTCATTTGGGTGTCTGAGCTGCTAAGGCCATCAGCCAGGATCAGCCAAGTAAGTTAGTAATCATCAGAGATAAGTTACCCACTCTGGTAATCATGTTAGTAAGTTGTATCTGGTACCACCACACAATCATACCCCATTACCACATAGCACCCATTATATTCCATTATTTTCTCTTCAATTAATAAGGATATCTGTAACACCAAAGTGATAAACTGTTAACTGATAAGGCTGATAGGACTTCGAATGACATAAAACAGTGATAAATGTGATAAAGTGGTTATACAGGATGTCTCATATACATATTTTACCAGTAAAGCTCATAATAAATATGTACTTAACGATATCAACCTATTATTCATTTCATTCTTGCTGAGAATTCTTGCATCCAAAAAGAAAACGAGAATATGTACAAACACGATATAGGAATTTTGCACACACAATGTACCGAGGGGTAAATCTCCAGGAAAAATGTGTACACCAGACTTCCAATGACCAAAGACTTCCAAAGACTCCCAAAGACTTCCAAAGGTCCCACAGACTTCTAAAGACTTCTAAAGACTTCCAAGGACATCCAAAGACATCCCAAGACTTCCAAAGACATCCAAAGACATCCAAAAACATCCAAAAACATCCAAAGACATCCAAAAACATCCAAAGACTTTCAAAGAATTCCAAAGACTTCCAACGGAGTGTACACCAGACTTCCAAGGAGATTTACCCCTCGCAATGTACCGCAATACAGCAGGTTTGAAATGATCTAGTTCAAAACGAACAAAACACCCTTGGTAAAATAAAATTGTTGTGCCAGTGCACTTTTGCTCATGTGAACTGAATTGAATTTACAGAATTTTACAAAGCGAAAAAGTACCTATATAAGTATGTATATCTATACAATGTGTAATATGAGTAGTAAAGCAATTGTTATTATGGAAATCAATCTAATGATAGATTTTATGTATAGCTCTAGGTACCTATATCTAGTTAATTCGAATTTGAACCTCAGTCAAATTTTCAGCATCAAGGGACTTATAAACATCTCAATCAAGGGCAAATATTTCCGGAAGGGACCTACTTAGGAAACAATCAATTGAGCTCCCAGTATAATTTTCACGTGTCTACCCAATTCTGAATTTCGACCGTATGATTATCTCATGGGACACTCTGTATATATTTCTAAGTTGATCTGACCTTTGATGTTCAATAGTTAAAAATGAGAAGATAACCTTGATTGAATATGTAAATGTCAAAAATTCGTTCTCTAACCTCATATTTTTTAAATTGAAAAGAACATTTGAATTTGAATAGTTAAAAAAGAAAATAGTATAATGAATTGAATGCTTTCGATTCAAAATTTCTCAGTGAATGATTAGTGATTAATTTTCAAACGTATCAACTAGTAGAAGTTTATTGAGATACCGTGATACCTACCTATATTTTTAAATTTTAATATCTAGTTGAAAAAAAAAAAACTGGTGATAATGGGTGGAAAATATAGCAAGTTAGATCCGATGGAAGTTGAAGTTCCGGATATAAAAAAATTGTTGGATAGAGATCCTTATCTGCATCCATATGAGAGGGAAATTAGAAGAAGGTGAGTATTGAAAATTTTCATGTCATTGAGAAGGTCATTCCATGATACTCATTCTCATAATAATCATTAATAATAATAATCATTAATGCCCAAGGATAGCCAAAAATTGCCAAAAATATACTTGTCAGCTGGATAATCCCATGAAATAATGAAAATCCAAAAGCCATCTTCAACAACTCAATAGTGAATTTTTCGAAAAATGTGTACCTATGTATTTAAGGATTCACAAAGCTTTTTTGAAGTTCCTTGGAAGTGTGTTTCATTTTATTTATTTATTTATATTTATTACCTCCTTTATTATTGAAATGTAAATACATAATGAATGAACATAAGTACCTACATAACTAATACCCAAGACTACTTAGTAATTATTTACCTATATATCTCTACTTAAACTCTAAGAACAAAAGAGACATTCACAAATATATTCACAAAATTATTGTCCTACAAGAAGAGGTGTGTAATGCCCACACCCATAATGATTCTTTCAGATTATCTTTGAACATATCTGTTGATCCACTGAAGATTTCTAGATTGTTATCATTATTGTGAAGTGTTTCCAATGGAACATTAAAGTTATTCATTTGAAATAAATCCAGACATATAGTGTACCCATTCTCAAGTTTTAAAAATGAAAAACAGATCAGTATATATTCTGCATTTCTCAAGAGTTGACTGATTCATATTCTGTAAAGTAATGTTACAATAATTCAATGGGCATAAATTCAATCTTATTGCTTGATACCACAGACATTTCTTTTGGACTGATTCAATTTTAGCAATATGTATACTATACTGTGGTGACCGGTGGTGACCATACAATAAAAGATGCATATTCAAGATTTGATCATACCAAACAACAGTAGATATTTTTGACTATTTTCCATGAGAAGCCACTTTTATTACGAAGAGTAAAACCAAGCAGTTTCTTAGCTTGAAGAACAATATTGTCAATATGTTTCTTAATGAGAAGGTGGTTATCGAGGATTACTCCTGAGCAGGGTTGGAATAAGCAAGGGAATAAGTCATGACTTATGAAAAAGTCCGACTGTTTGAATTAAGTCCGACTTTTTTGACTGGATTCACTTGAAAAATCAAATTCCATTTATGTAAACCAAATACAAAAACTTTACAAAAAAATAAGTTTTTATTTTCGTTAAAAATCTCAAAGCATAACATGATTAAACATGCAGTTTTAGAAGAACTATTGTTTGAATGAAAAATGATAAATGCTTATGCAACTTATTACTTTTTCAGAATCTGGGTTAGAGATCCCAATAAACCTAGCAGAACCACTTCAACAATTCAAATTTGCCATAGTGCTATAATTTGTTACTAATTTAGTACTAATTTATTACCATATTTTCAAATTTATTACTCTTCATTTAACAGAAAAAACCAAGGCTCTGCTAGCTTTGTCAACGTAGCAGAACCATATCTAAATATTTATTATTTTGAAAACTTCAAATATACCTACCAATATTTATTACTATTTAATTACTAACTTATATTCGCGAATTTTTTATTCTTCATTCAAAGAAAACGCCGATTTGATACTCTTGATCTTAACCTAGCAGAGCCAAAACTCAAATCACATGTTATTTGAAATCCTATTGAGTCATCAATAAGTTTTAACGGCTCTGCTAGCTTTATGTCAACCTAGCAGAACCATAGCTAAACATTTTTATTTTTGAAAACTTCAAATACACCATAATTTCGCATAATTTATTACTATTTAATTACTAACCTATAACTGTTATCAGGAACTTTTTACTCATCATTTGAAGGGAAAAAACGCCGATTTGTCTACAGTGTGTCCCACTTACCATGCTCACCATGGGTATCTTTTTAACGGTGAGAGATACGAGGTCGGTTAAATGACACCAAATGTGGAGTTTGTCAAGGCCAACTATAATGTGAAAAAATATTTTGATTAAATCTATTCGTTTTTGTTTTATACGCAAAAAACAGATTTTGATCATTTTCATTTCTCCTCCGTAACTACTTTATTTATGAAAATATTCAAATAGGAATTTCACATTCTCATAGCAGTTTTTCAAAGTAATTTCGAAAAGAATATGAAATTTATACCAACTCTTCTAGAATTTGAGATATCAGCACCAACTTTAGTTCTTCAAATAGAGGTCATAGCTCACTATGACTTAGTTAAAAATAACTTTTTTTCCCGTTACAGATGATGTGTCGCAGTAATAGTTTTGTGTTGATAACAACGGAGTTATCGTCATTTATACATAAACAAAAAATTATTCAGAAGCCGCCATCTTGGATTTATAAATTTTAACAAAAAAATCATGATCTTTGACCTCGAAAACCCCCACTTACCAATTTTGGATGGAATCGGACCAAATCATGTCCGCCATCTTGGAGCAGCCATTTTTTTTTAATTGATGGCGGACAATATTCGGTCCGATTCCATTCAAAATTGGTGAGTGGGGGTTTTTGAGGTCGGAGATCATGATTTTTTTTGTTGAAATTTATAAATTCAAGATGGCGGCTTCCAAATAATTTTTTGTTTATGTATAAACGACGATAACTCCGTTGGTTGTTATCAATACAAAACTACGAGGGGCAATTCGCTGAGCAGAATGATGTACACTAATTCCTCAATGCTAAAATAATGCTTTTTAATTCACTATATTGACTAGTAATGCCTCATAATTCCTCCTAATGCCTCGTAATGCCCCGTAATGTCTCGTAATGCCTTGCAATTCCTTGCAATTCCTCGCAATTCCTCGCAATTCCACTGTAATTCCTCGCAATTCCACTGCAATTCTTTGCAATTCCTCATATTTATTCCGATTCATAATGAATAATATAAAGATCGGAATATTATTCCGAGTATTATTCTATGTTGTGTTTTTGTAAGAACAACTAACCCTGTATAGAAATTATCGAAAATCTGATCTTATATCGAAAATCTACGGGAACAATCCTACAGGAACTTGTAGAAAAAGTTTCTGGTACCATTTCAGTTATTCCGTAATAAATTAGGTATTTTCAATTTTTTCACTGGAGGAATTTAATTGTCTGATGAAGTACTGACTCAAAAAAACTTGAAAATAAATTCGTATTTAGGCCGGAATGAATCTTTATTATGTTCAGTTCTTGTAAGAATAACTACTGACCTAGTAAAACAATCATCAATAATCTGATAGCAGATTTGAAATCTACTAAAAAAAATCTTATAGGAACTTTTTCAAAAAGGAATTGACTGAATTGTTTTTGGATTATATTTGCTCACTCATAAACGCTAATAAATTAGTATTTTTCCGTAGAATTTGAATCTGTGATCAGATTTTTGATAATTATTATACAGGGTAACTCAACATGATAAAAAGATAATACTCCGGTCCTGATATTGGTTTCATCAAAGGACTACTTGTTAAGGCCTTTTAGTTCAATTCATGTACCAAATTTAACCCAAATCGGCATTAAATATGGAGGATTTAATTTGTTGTCCAAACTAACAAATCACTCTGTATGTCAGTAACGAAGCGGTTTTGGACATTTGTATACATGGCATTTTGCAATCATATTGGCAGTTCCTATAGAAACCCCACGAGTTTTGTCATTATCTCCGGATACCCTGTATATCTAGTTAATACCAACCTAATTAACTGAAGGAATAATTAACTCTTTATGATGAAACTTCTACAATAACACCCAAAATAAGAACAACCAAAATAAATAACCGAGCAAATAACGTTTATTCGTCACTTACCTTGTTTATTTCAGAGCACAGATACCAGAACAGCGTATGTGTAGTATCGTGATGTCATTTTCCTAACCTAGCTAACAGTCTACTGAAGGATTTCAGTGATTTCACGTTTTCCGTTAACACAACTTGGAACACATGACGAGCGATGACGTAATCGAAATATCAACGCATGCGCAATTCATACTATAATGCCAATAATGCGCATCATAATTCCTCGTAATGCCACACAATTCCTCGTAATGCCACGCAATTCCTCGCAATGCCTCGTAATGCCTCGCAATTCCTCGCAATGCCTCGCAATTCCTCGCAATGCCTCGCAATTCCTCGCAATGCCATGCAATTCCACTGTAATTCCTCGTAATTCCACACAAGTGTACACCAAAATTCCTCAGCGAATTTCCCCTCGCAAAACTATTACTGCGACATATCATCTGAAAGAGAAAAAAAAGTTATTTGTAAATAAGTCATAGTGAGCTCTATGACCTACATTTGAGAAACTAAAGTTGGTGCTGATATCTCAAATTCTAGAAGAGTTGGTAAAAATTTCATATTTTTTTCGAAATCACTTTGAAAAACTGCTATAAGAATAAGAAATTCCTATTTGAATATTTTCATAAATAAAGAAGTTATGGAGGAGACATGAAAATGATCAAAATCTGTTTTTTGCGTATAAAACAAAAACGAATAGATTTTATCAAAATATTTTTTCACATTATAGTTGGCCTTGGCAAACTCCACATTTGGTGTCATATAACCGACCTCGTATCTCTCACCGTTAAAAAGATACCTATGGTGAGCATGGTAAGTGGGACACACTGTATATTGATCTCAACCTAGCAGAACCGAAAACTCAAATAACATTTGAAAAGGAATATTCTCAGATATATTTATGAACACAAAAAAAATATATACATAAAGAAATACATAAATTGACTCCTAAATTGATATTCATCATACAGGACGTGGAAAGAAATTCTGAATTGTTGTTTTTTGTTGAATATTCAAAATGATATTATGTGCATATCTTTACATGAAGGAGAATGCAAATGCAAATTCTCTACTTCAGAAGATTTTGTTTTCAAATTCTTCTCGTATGTGTTCAATAGATATAATTCAATGTTCATCGTGGCATATAGCCAGGAAAGTAGTTGTTTTCTGTTGAATAAACCGAGAAAGAATTAATAATATTTTCATCACATGGAGAATGCGAATTTTCAATGTATTTCTTTATGTATATATATCCATTTTTTGTGTTCATAAA